ACATCGAGGAAAAATGTATTCATTGAGCCAGCATTAAAAAAAATAATTAGTTGAACCTCGATAAGACGAACCACCCTATGTCGAATTTTTTTTATAGTCCCCGTCTGAATTCTTTTACAGTAAAGCCTCGTTACAACAAAATTGTGGGGACTTCGGAAAAAGTTTGTTATAACGGATTATTTTTTATATGGAGATTTTCAAAATCTTTGACTGATGGGAAGATTTTCTGAAAATTAAACCTGCACACGGTACTTTCAACTGTATTCCTTTTGTGACTTTTTCAGATATCTCTCAGCATTAAAAAAAAAACTGATATTTTCAAAGAGAAATTCATACGTTAATTAAAAGCAATTAATCTGAATAACAGGTGTACACTAACACTTTTTGTTGAGTAAGGTTTTCTAAGCAATTCCTGAACAGATTTTTAAGGGTGGATGTTCCAAAAAAAGCTTACAATTTTCAAGAATCAGTATTGTTTCTCAAGCATAGAAACCCTTTTTTAACATGAGTTTCGTTGGGTTAATTTTTTTCCGTTACTGTATTAACAGTGCATTAAAATCCTCCCTAAATCGAAGTATTTTTCTCTCGAACCTCCGTAACTCGAATTTCCCGACGTCTTTTGGCTATTATTTTCTCAAAATATGAAAGAGATAAAAAAAAGTGATTTGATGTGTCTTGAAGGGAAGATAAAGACTAATTGAGCAAATTAACACTTGCTTCCAAGTTCAGCATGCTGTAAACTCATGTCGGAAGCAAGTCAAAGCCTATAATATCCCCTACGATTATTTTACGTTTTCTTCAACAAAACTGCTTTTTTCCTTGGCAAAAAAAAATTCCCAAGTCTAAACCTCTCCAAGTCGAATTTGTTTGCTGGTTCCTTGCCGAGGTTCGACTGGAAATACTGCAAAATGTAAAACTGCGCGTGATTCACAGGGGGTAAACTTTTTTTTTTTTCAAGCAAAAATTATTTCCGTTTATCGCGAAACTCGAGGACTGAAATTTTAGAAAAAAAATTACCGCCAATTCGTCCCCAAACCAGGAGTAATCCTAGACACCCCTTATCAAGAAAAAAAAAAGAGCAATTCAGTCGAGCTCATCCCCTGTCCTGTGCATGAGAGACACCCAGGTTCCCCCCCAAACCCTGCGACCCCTTATGCAACCCGGCTAAAGGCACCCCCGCAATCAAGTCCCATTCCCGGGTGTTTCCTCACCCCCCACACCCACCATTCCGGCCCATGACCCAGCATTGCGGTTCCGTGGGATTTCTTGGCACTGGACCAGAGAAGAAATGAACGAGTAGAGAGTTTAAAAAAAATAAATAAAAAAACGAACCCCGTTTCGAACGACCCGTGGAAAAACCTCAGGTACCGCATTCCGACCGGAAACTGTTGAACCCGTCTATTTTATCTACTTTTTCTCACGCCCCATCAGTGACTCAAAGAACATTTCTTAAAACAGCTCCGACGGTTTCTTCACTCACGAAACAGTTTTAAAATTTCTCGGAAAATGAACGCATCGTCTCCAGAATAATAAGAAATATGTCTTGAATTTCTTGATTTTAAATTTAATGTTTTACATAGTTCCTCAGCTGACTTCTCGTTAATTCTGGAATTATCGGTACATCGAATAATTATTTCTTTATACCTTAATCATTTCTAATGCCAAACTATGAAAAATCAAAGGTACTTACATTATGTCAGGGTTGATCTGGCTTTTCTTACAAAATTAGAAAACGTCACGAAATTGGGTAAGGTTAATTTATTTCGTTAACAGTCGGGATATTTCCTGTTCGCTTTCGTTCTTTGCTATTTTACTGTGTTCTTCATATTTATATTTCAGAATTGAGCAAATAATTTAGCACACCAACGTAGCTTCTTGAAGACTGCATCGAAAAAAGCAAAAATTAATTTTGGAATCACATTACAAAAAATTGTTTCAAGCTACCTGTAAACATTTATTCACGGTAAATAAATTAATGAAATTAATAAAAATAATAATCATGAAACAAATTATTATAAATATCAATGAATATATATTACTGTGATTTTAAGAAAAGGCAGATATGCGCAAAAAAATTTAATTTCGCTTGAGTTTTTCTTTATTTCCAGTGTTGTTAGAATTGAAGAAAATCTCAAAAAGGAGGGCAACATTTTTGTGGTTACACAATTGAAAAAGACATTGGTTTGAAAGTGAAATCAGCTCGGTAAGAACCACAAATTAGACGGCATTACAAAAGTCTTTTAGAATGACCTGATTTTCTCTACCACGGACAAAAATCCTAGCAGTTCAATCGTGACCTTGGTTTTCCTGACATCGTTAGGCTCAATTGAATTATCTTTAGACACGCTATGAGGCCATGAAACCATTATTAAAACGTCAAATACACATGATGCGGTATAATACCTCGTCGTGTATTGTCTTTTTCGGAAGAACTTCTGTTCATAACATGACATGACATGACATGAACGCACGGTAAGCTTTGGGCCTCCGTTTGAGGGAACGTGACAAATTTCACTATACCAAGATTTAAAAGATTGACATAAATAGTTTTCGCAGTGTGAAATTTAGAAAAACTCTGTACTTCCAGGTCACACTAATTTCTCCAGGTCCCATAAATTAACACTTGAATTACATTTTGCAACTTCGAAATCTCGCAAATTAAATCGACGATGTTAGAAGTTACGAATCACCTGAAAGGTATCCTAGTCATAAATACTTTTTTCGAAGAGGAATCACAGTATTTTTGTCACGAAATGTCGTCCTCATATCATCAGTCAATCACAAAATATTCCTCGAATTGACAATCAAAAATCTTTGCTTCTTTTTTCCTTTTTCGCTACATCAAAAATGTTGATTAAAAATTCGGAATCTCAGGAAACGTTTCCGGCAGTTTTCGGAATTATCTTGCAGAAATTAGCGAGGAACAACTTTCTATACATTTGATTTGGTGGCATGCGACGAATTCGTATTAAAAATCTTTAAAAATACTGAAATTTAAATTTTCGACGACAATTGCACATCAAGAAATACTGTACAGTACTTGACAAGAAAATACGATCGCTGAGTATGCTCCACAGTTTCAGTCGACACATCCTCAAAAATTATTCCCTTCTCCATCACTTTAAAAACATGTATTTATTTGATACGAATGGCACAATAAAATTTAAATACGCACACCGTTCCATCAGTGTATTTCCCATATAATCTTCACAATCGCTCTACATATTCCCTATCGATAAAACCCGGACTTCCTTTCCAGTTTCCGTTTCTTTGAACCATGACCATCCAACTGAGCGTGTCTGTGCACATCGTAGAATGGTTTATTCGTACAGGAACAAGGTTTTCTTCTGATCACTCCACTCACCAAGTTCTCACAAAGTCCGTCATGTTTTTGTGCGATAGAAACACGAATTCATGCCAAAATATAGCCTTATTGGCCCATATAAACAGGGTCAAATTATGCCAAATTTCATTCACAGCGGAGATTTCACGCAGTGAACACGCAAAAATATTCGCATATAATGTTTTAGGGTTTTCTTATACAAATGACGATACTCAACTGTAAGTTCCTCAGCTGAAACAGTCAGCTTATTGACCTTACGCTGAATAGGTTGGCGCTCAGTTGGCCCTACCGCTGACTTGACCCAGCACCCGACGAAACCCACACTTCATTCATGGTTGCCTATTTTTCAAACGCAAATTACAGCAAGAAATCTGCTACTTAAGGGATGCCAAAGATATTTTAGACCAAAAATGCAGCGGTAAATGGAGCATTCAGCAAGAAAAGATAAATGACAGACCTTAGCTTTTCTTCTCATTTTTATTTATTTTTCTTCTCCCTTTCTGCGAAAAAATGTCTGTCTTGCAGACGGTTAATCTTTTGGCACGTAATTATGTGCATCAATAACACGACGATTAAGTTTCAACGCGGTTCGAAAGGCTCAACAGCGCAAAAAAACCGTTATGGAACTCAGATGAGCGTATTCCAAAACGGCGCGTCCCAAAACAGCGCGTTGAAAAATAAGTGCAGATTGAATAAAATCACAGCAAAGAACGCCAGGAAAATGTTGGAGATCAAACTGCGCCATTCTTCTTCAGAAGCGCTGTTTTGTTTTGTTTTTTTTTTGGTACAATATTTCGAACATTTGTTCAGTGCAAAAGCCGTTTTGATTTAACTATTTTGGGCATGTTCTTTGAAACACGCGATGAAATTGATACTGATTTCTTAAATGAAATAAGCAAGAGATCTTTTTTTTTAAACATGCCTAACTCCCCTTGAAACTTGAGAAGATTAATTCAAGAAATTATTTATCATCAATTGGATGTTGTGTGATGTCAGTTTCGATTTGTAAAAATGCACTATATTTTCGCCTTTTCGGTGTTTTCAATCGAATTCCTTTTTTTTCAAGAATTTCGTTCAAGAAACTCAAGGCTGATCGACCGCGTTTAATTGTTTATTGCTTAACAAAACCACAAATCCTGTTTTTTGGAATCATCAAGAACGTACGCTTCGGTTTGATGAACCCAAGTCTCAAACTAACACCACACAATTTTTTTTTTCTGCTGCCAAAGTTTCCAACCCTCAACGGGTTTCTCCTTCTTAAAAGAAAATCTGAGAAAAATACCAAGCCGCCAAATTATCAAGCATCACGCAATTTTCCCAAAGCGAAAAGCCAAGCCAAGTGTCAAAAAGCGACAAACAAACCCCCCAAAAGTGAAGCAATTTCCCTTCTTCAGACCAAACTAAAAGATATTCCCAAATGACGAAAAACGACGTTCTTTCAAAGACTTCCGGGGTCGATACATTTGTATTCCATTTCCGCGATGACAGAGCAAAAAAAAAATATATATATAGATATATACCCACAAAATAAAAATCGCGGGTAGCGGAATTCCGACTGCATGCGACGCAATGAAGAACCCCGCGGGTTCTTGGGTCCATCGGGAGATGGGTCACGCATACACATATTTTTTTTTTTTTTGCAGGAACCTTGACTCACCGAGCAGCGCCTGGAAGAGTCGGGACTTGAAAATCCTGATGACTCGCTCAATAGCAAGCCTCAGCTGTTTGTCTTCATTGCGAACGAGTTTGCTGTGGTAGTCTTCCAGAAGCTCCAAGGCACGATGGGCCTCTGCATAAACAACGGGAAAGAGGAGAGGAAACGCATTAGCAATGTCACGAAGTGCCTTTTCTGTGCCAAAAAAAAAAAAAGTATCCTCTTTTCTGATCAGCATCACTGTAATTCGTTCCGGGATTCCGCATAAACAACCAGACGGAGAGAAGGAAATACATTATATACAGCCACGGAACGTCCTTGGCAAAAATGCATCCTATTTTTCAATCAGGGTCACCAGACTTTTTTTCCAGGCTTCTAAGAAACAAATAAAAAAGAACAATAAATATATTACCGCAGCCACGAAATACTTTTCGAAAAGCTTTCTTCCTTTGTCAGGATCACTTGAATCATTTGAAAATGAAAATCAGGCTAAATCTGAAATTGTAAAAGGATTTTTTCATTTGTTTTTTATTCGCGCGCCCCAAAGTTTTCGAAATCATCTTTCGAACCAGAGCAAATCTAAAACCAGGAGAGAATAAATTACTAATGACTAAAAATAAATTACTTTCGGCCTCAACAAAAGGATTATTTGTCTCCCCGCAAAACTGCACATTGCAGTAACATACTTGTAAATCCTTCGACCTTCCTAATTTGTAACAAGGTTTCTTCAATTATTTGGAACAACAAAAAACCTATCTTCAAAAATTTTGCTCTGAGTTAGGCGAACTTTTCATTGAAGCTTTAAAAGTTCGAAAGAAATATATAATCTGATGCACGGAAAGTGAATTTTGTCTTGAAGAAACGTCAAATTCGCTGCCAAAAGAACATGAAAATCTCGAATTTCATTTGACCAACTACGAAAAAAAAAACAATTATTCAATTGAGCTCAAATTCAGTGAACCTTTCATATTTCTAAAAGTTTTTTTTTCGTGAAACAATTAAAAAGATGCTGTTCACTATATGCGTTTCATCAATACTGCATAATACATATTTGCGCTTTTCGTCAGGATAATGATGAAGATATCTAAGAAATCGTATTTCATCACATTTCCGTTGCTTTGCATCAATCAATGATGTTCCAAAATCGCCCTGAAACGTCTTTTCACCCCTCTTTCTCATGTTCTTTTTCGAGGCGGCAACTAATAAATAACATTTTCGAATAAAATCAGCATCACAAATATCCTTCAATAAAAACTGAATTTTGTTCACGAACTCAATCACTATTCAAACCTATTCTACGCCATGAATTTTCAGTGCAGGAAATTCATCAAAAAGCTTGACGTCAGAATCTCGAGATGTCAAGAAACTCCATTAGGTAGTTCCGACTTTTCGATATATTTAACAGGTCGTGTTTCTAGACATGTTGAAGAATTTGATTTTCACTTCCAAGAAACCGTTTCCTTTGAAGCACGATCAAACTGATCTTCACTTCACCGCGATAAAAAAAGAGAGAGAGAATCTCACGAAGTTCTGGGGGAAATAAATATATTTTTATTCCAACCAAATTTGCGAATTCGCTTTTCTACCCGCGGCACCTCGCAAAAAATTTGCATTGGAATTCGATTATTTGCCTGTTCGCGCATAACATTCCCCAGCCACGCATTTTTTTTTCTTCCTAGCCAAAAAAGAAATCACGAGGGATACAAACAAAAACGAACACTATAGCCCGCTTTCAGTCATTACATAATCATCAAGGGATGGAAAAGCAAAACAAAAGAATAAGATCTACGCTATCTCGAATGGCCGATTGTTCAGCTCAACCCTTTCGTATTTTTTCAAAGAGAAGAAGAAAAATAAGAGTATCTTACACAGGGTGCTTAAATCGCTACTAGACTCACAAAAACGTTAATTCGATTTTCCCAAGATTCATATACTGTATTAGACATGCAACTGTGAGATCAGGGTAAAAATATTATTGTAAAAAAAATTGGGAATACTAACTATTCCCAGCGACTGTAAGTGTTTCGCATTCCGAAAAGTAAAGAGAACCTTATAAGCCTTTTCAAAAGTAATCTTAGCGTCATCGTGAGACATGAATGATTTTATTTCCTACTACGAATCTTACGATTCCTCCTAGATAATTTTCGTCCTGAAGATTTTATTAATGCCCCACAATTTCCCCAAGATGAAGCAACGAGTCATTTGCCAGAAAACGCCAAAAAGTTTATCTTTCCTATTTCAGGCACTCGAAACTTTTATACTTTTTACGTGATGGTGCCATGATTTTACCCAGTCTTTCCCTTTGTCCCACCTTCCTTTGACAAAAATTTCAGCATTATACTTTATGTGCATAACTTTTAGCAATATTCTGGGTTTCGTGGGCCTCGAAGCGGTGTCCCACGTATTTACTCTCAAAAGAAAAGCTTTTCCCTAGAATTCGGTTTCGATCTTCAGATACATACATAAATGCTGACGCAGCTAAAAGCCACATAAAACTTCTTCGTGGGTTCTACAATCCAAGAAAGTTGTTCAGGGAAACTCTGATGGAAATTTTTATGAAATTATTCGGTAGGTGAAACTGCAGCGCACTTTTCTTTGCCTAACGATTTAAGTAAGTAAAGACTATAGCTTGGGATTTTTTACTGCCACACAGAACTTTAGTTACCGCAGAGAACCTAAAAGCTTTTTTATTGATTCTCAGTAAAACATTAAAAATATTTCCATAGAATAATCTTGAGGATAAAACCCAAGTCCAACTAAAAGAAAGAATATTTTGGATTTCATTTAATTTTTCGGGAAGTAGAAATTTCAAAGGACCGGCAAAAACATTCAAGTTACAGAGGATTCGAGTTAGGAAACAAGCATTTTCGTATGGGAAAGAACACGGAATTACAGGAAATTTTAATTGGTGATATTCTGGGCCTCAAATTGCTTCTTAAACGAGTTGACTGGATGCTGAAGTTCCTCCGTTCCCAAATTAACGGTATGATCATAAATTTACGGAAAGTTTTCATTTTATTTTTAGTTCAACGTAAAAGATACCGAAAAGAGGCAGTTATTTTTTTATCGGTTTTCCAGGGCCTTTTAAGGAGTTACCGAAGGTTTGAGAGGAAAAGCCTTCGAATTGCGGAAATGTTGTATGCATTGTCTCCAAGTAAATTCGGACTTGAAATAAATTCGACACTACAGAGAGGTTCGAGTTATCGGAAAGGAGGCAAGGGTTTAATTGCCATACTAGTATTTAAATGCCTTTCAAAAGTAAAATAAAAATCAAGTTGCATTTTCTATGGCTTTTCTCCGTCAATAAAAAAATAGCCAAAAGGTCCCGGAAAATTCCGTACCGCGGACGAGTGCATGCAGGTAATCCTGCAGTTCATGCACCCAAAAAAAAAGGGCTATCCGACCCCAAAAAAGGGTCCGCCGGGAGTCCTGGACTCGTACGCAGTTTCGAAAATTCGAGTTACCGAAGGTTTGAGAGGAAAAGCCTTCGAATTGCGGAAATGTTGTATGCATTGTCTCCAAGTAAATTCGGACTTGAAATAAATTCGACACTACAGAGAGGTTCGAGTTATCGGAGTTCAATTGCAATTCAATGCCGAATTTGACAAGTCTCTCATGCTGGATAAAGAGTTCGCTACACAAATTAAAAATTATCCAAAAATAAATCATACACATGAAAATTTCGCTGCATCGGTAATTGTACTTTATTAACAAAATATAACTACATGATATGTACTGTATAAATAATTTCCTCCTACGCGCATCGCCGTAGTAAGAAGTAAAAAAATATAAAAAATAAAAATAAAATTCCGAGCCACTGATGGTGATGAAATCCCAAAGACGCACTTCTCTCGAGACCAACCTTTCTTGAACGGGACTCTATCGCTTTCCTTCTTTCTGGGTTCACTTCTTCGTGGTCAACACAAAAGGAGAAGAAATATAAAATAAAATAAAGTCTGGGGCGCCGGGAAAGACAGGGTCGGTCAACGAGTCGACCGATCGCCGCTCTTCATTCGTTCGCTCGCCGCCGAGCGAAACGGACAACGTTTTCTATCTCTAGTCATCCACGATGATCTTGAATAGAAAAGATTAATGCGACATCACTTGACGCATTCCGGACGAAGTGTTTCATGAGCGCGAAGACACGAGCATTCCTACAAAAAATAGTCGGAATGCCGAGTCGCGAAATTTTCGAGCGAAAATGCTCCAGTCGTCTGTGGAACGATTTCAGAAATGAACCTTGGAATTTCCGCTCAATACTCGGGATTATAATTGTATCACATGGAGTTTGATCTTGATAACGGAAGTGAAGAATTGCGGTACGGTACCTTGTTTCCGAACGGGCATCTTGAAATCTCGCAGGATTGCAGTGTCGATATCAGAAATGACCCTCATCGAGGCCTCGGTTCTGGTGCCGCCAGATCAGGTTCACTCACTCGCACTCGGCGCTTTTGAAAGGAAAGCACTCATGTTCGAAAAGTTCAACAAAGTCTGCGACTAGAATTGTCTCACTATCACTGCGAGACGCGGGAAGTCCACACGATACTTCGTTGAGATTCTCGGTTGCACGTCACTTCCGGGAGTCACAGATTAAAAAGGTATGAATACTGAGGTTACACTTTGGGTCGAGAATCTGCGAAAAATTCGTCGCGTAGAAAAGCGAGAAAAGCTCAACCCAACAAATTGAATATTAAATCCGAAATTTCAACGTAGAAATTCCACCAACCATAACCCAATAATCATAAATTGAATCCCCGAAGTCCTTCGATGACGGTTTTCAAGTACAACTATCATTTGTGAACTTCGTGAGACTCCCCTTCGTAAAATTAAGGTTTAATTCACATACCATCCCTGAATAGATTCGCAGAGTAATCGTCAATTACAAAGGACGACTAAAGAGACAGATTTGAGCGCTTTTCTCAGATTTAAAGGCTAGACGACAAGAGGAAGGACTGAAGGATTATCCCATTATCCAAGATAATGTGACAAAATGGAATGACCAAGGCTAAATAATACAATCATTCACAAAGCGGTGTTGGTGGGGTAGGCGAAATATTTGACAGATTTCCTTAAGATTTCGCGATTGATTGTGAACATTATTCCTGCACAAAACGTCAAAGCTGGCCGCGAAGTGGCCACCATCTGCGACGAAGCCTTTTCGCGGGCCGGAGCGCCACTATCTTTCGGTCGGGAATTTGCTTCCCCAGAACAGACTTTCTCCCTCACGGGCGCAGCCATGTGACTGAAATCCCCGTCCAAGAGCCGCTCCCAGCCGGCCGGACTGGTGTTCACTGGGTTTCCGTATCCCAAGAACCCGGCGAATTTCCGGGTATCCGTCCATAGAAACCGGACGAAGGATGGATTTGTGACGTGCTGAAAACCTCTGCGTACACCAAGGACTTCCTGCTGTAACAAAACTGAAGGATTTGTAGGGTCTTATCTGTCTGTTCTTCGGATGAATCGTCTCCAGGACGGCCCGAGCTTTGATAAATAGTCTACAAAGTAGTGCAGAACTGTACTGTACCATACTTCGTCTTCATAATTAATTTTTGTTTGGTTCCGAAGGGCCCTAAATGCGCTGCCATCCTGGTGCGAATGAAAGAAAGTTTTATTTTCAGAAGAGAGTAAATTAAGATTCTGTGCGGGAAACTTCACTATTCCAACATTATATTTTTATGTAGTCATTATAGATACAGTAGATTAGTTGATTTTTTTGTACATCCTTGTGGTAAGCACGATTTTCTTATTGTTTCATCTTTCTGCCGCTTACCTCAAGAATTTTCATATTGAAAATTTAGTTTATCCACTCAACAATGTGTCAGGATTCGAAAAATTCCAATATTTTTGGCAGGGCCATTCCGAAGAGGACAAAAATCAAGTTTTATTTACTGCTAATGACGGATCGTTTTTTCTGACAACTCAAGGAATTTTCCATACTTCTACGTTCGTTTTTTTTCAATAATTGTTTTGAAATGCATGCATTCTCGTGTAGCTTATTTTATCAGAAATTTTCCCGAACAATCCATATCTTCTCATTCATAAAAACTGGCGATTTCTCATTACTTGTGTAATTTTTTCATAACATGAGCCCTTCATATGACCTCAACGTTTGTGTTTCTGGATTTTTCATACACCCAAGTTTAGAAAGAAGACCTTTGAAAGTACAGTCGGAGAATTAATATTGAACGTATCAGATGAGTACACGTGGTGTTGTAGAATGAAATGGAATATGACCAGCTATGTTTAATAGGGAAAAACTATTTGTACTAAAAGGAGTCTTTCAAGCTAATACCTCAAATCGAAGTGTGATTTACAAACGCAAGATGCATTTGAAAACATCAAAGTACAGTACAAAACTACACAGCGAGTTAATTTTCTTGCAAAATTGCGCCAGACATTAGAATATTGGAGGTTCTGAGTTCTGATGAGATACAAATTGCATTCAACCATCTTGCAGTTAAGATAACTTACATACTGTAGCTTTAAAGGCCTTCTCGTTTAAGAATACAACATTTTATGATACTGCAAAATCGCATTGCTTCTGATCATTTAAATTAAAAATGCTGACAAAAACTGCTGTGCGTTCGAAGAAAAGCTGGAATTAATCATAGAAATATAGAATACTTCAGTTTCTAACGAGACTTAGCTGGTAAACAGAAGCTAAAGTTGAAGCAAGGGAATCTTCTTAGTTTGAAGGAATTGCATGCAATAATAGCGCGTATTTTATTCGCAAGAGAAATCGCTGCAATTTTTCAGACGCAAGAAAGTCACACAATCATTGGCGCGCTATAAATAAGGCATTTCTCTTCAATTTTCAAAAGGTGATAAACCTTCTCATCGTCTGATTTCACCATGAAGAAACCAATCAAACAGCTGCAAAATCCAGAGATGTATTCGCAATAATTTCTCACAATCACTAAACAGCATCTCGAATAAATCCTCAACCATGCGTATAATAACAGACGTCTAAT